GCGAACTTGAACTTGTTTCTAGGAATTTTTATACTTGTGTGCATATATTTTGCACAAGAGCTTCCGTTATCCCTCCCTCCTGCCCTCCCTCTCTACCTCCTTTCTTTGGTGTGTTGAGAGGTCTAGGTATAGAGCCTGGAACTAGCTGTGCAGTGTAGTTCATGTTGGCCTTGAACTGACAATTTTCCTTCCTCAGACTGTTAAGTCACAGCATGTACCACCATGCCCAGCTAGTTTTTAGGATTGTTTTACAAGTGAGATTATTGCATAATTATTAACTGCAGATAGCTTCCTCTTGACTAACTGGCCTGGCCAAATCTCTAGCACAAAGACACTTAAAGGTGGTAAAAGCAGATGATATCCTTGTCTTACTCTGTATCTTAGGGGGAATTTTTTTTATATGATATTAACTAAAAATTTTCTTTATGCTCTTTGTCAAGGTGAAGATGCCTTTTCTGTTCTTAGTTTAATATTTCTATGATTAAAAAATAAGAGTTTATAATATTACTTAAACTTTATATTATAAAATATTTTATAATATAAAAAATGTAACAATTTACATAAAATATTGTGAACTGAGAGTATCTAGCATGCAGAAGGTCCTAGGTTCAATCCCAACTACATGTAAAAGGGGGTGAGGGTATAGTTGTGCAGGTAGGAAATTAGAAGTTCAAGGTCACCCTCCACTACACAACAAGTTCAAGTCCAGCCTGGGCTTTATGAGTATGTCTCAAAATGCATGCATATATATGTATGTATATGTATGTATATGTTTTGTCAGATGCTTTATCTAAATGACATACACACACACACACACACACATATATATATGAGGGATAACGGAAGCTCTTGTGCAAAATATATGCACACTATATATACATATATATATATTCTACTTATATAATGATATACTAATGGATTCATAAACTTTGCCTTCCTAAATTTCTCTTGATAATACTTAAAATTTTTATATTCTTTGTGTGTGTATGTGCTACATATGTGTGGGTGTTCAAAGAGACCAGAAGAGGGCATCTATCCCTTGGAGCTGGAGTTACAGGTTGTGAGCCACCTAACACGGGTGCTGAGAATCAAACTCTGGTCCTCCAGAGGAGCAGGAAGAGCCCCTTAACTACTGAGCCATCTCTCCAGCTCTAGCAATATACTTTTGATATGTTGATAAATATGATTTGTTGGGGTTTTTTGTTTTTGTTTTTTGTTTTGTTTTTAGTTGGGGATTTTTGCACTCATAGTCATCATGAATATTGATGGCTTTTCTTTTTTGGAATTGTCTGCCTGATTTTGAGTTCTCTGTCATCCCCTCTTACCAAGACTTTTCCCATCAATGTTTGCAGCTTTATAAAGTGTTTCCTTAATTCTCTCTGCTTGGGAAATAAATCAGAAAATGCTCCCAAGAGTAAAAGCTGACTTGATGGTCATTTCTCTGATTCTGTTCCCTCAAGTTTCAAGATCTCCGTATTCATTACTCTATAATGCTGATATTTGATTTTGCTAATTCTTGACCACATTTTAGGAAGGTTCTTCTGAACCCTCTCTTCAAGTAGGCTTCAACTAAGGCCCCTGTCCTGGTTTTGGTCTGCCCAGCTCGGTCTTAGCAAACATCCAACTCTTAGCCCTCATGTATCCTCTTAAAAGTTTCCATGTGTCCACTGTCTTACTTAGGCCACAAGTCCCTAGCTAACTTTGCTGAATTCACAGCTGAACCTGAGTTTTTCTTCTGTTATAATGCCCCATTGTACCAATCTTAAACGAAAGTATTCCTTAGTGTTTTATTAAGTATCAGAATAATCTTTCTTTCAGCAGTGCCCTCACATAGTTCTTTTATATATTTTTCATATTTGGTATAGTTGTAGGTGGGAGAATGAGCCAGGAGTGAGTTGCTACATTGTGACAGAAGACAGTGCAAAGGTTCCTCCATCTTCTCTTCTTGCTGAGGCCATTTCAGGTTTAGCTAGAATTTGATCTCTTTGATGGCGAATCCCATAGAAAATTACTAACTCTATCGTAGGAAACAAAGGTCAAAATGTCCTGGATAACTTACCTTAGCTTCTGTTAACCTGCCTGTTCGTGCAGAAGACCCTCCAACTGACTGCTTATCTTCGTTTCTATACAATAGCTTGCTTACACAAAGCCCCGAACTCCTCTGCTGCTTATCAAGATGCCAGTAAGTGGTTTTGCCTTCAGAGCTTCAAAAACCCCATATTCTGGTTACTCAGGGCCACGGCTAAGTCCTCTAATGTCTGGGTGTGGTCCTAACCAACTGGAATCAGGAATTGGCTATAAACTGTATCTGAGTGGTCATCTCTGGTGTGCTACCCATAACATTATTGCTAAATCCATAAGTCTACATATAACGAGAACTCATTGTTCTAAGACTTTATTTTACAATCACAATTAAAAAAAATAGTAATGGAGATATAAACTGTGACTCAGAAAAAACTACCAAGGGGAATGCAGGGCAGAAAGAAGAGCAAAATGGTAGAAAAGCAAGCGGATTTTCTGTGACAGCCGTCAGGGTGGAGAATCTGAGCTGATAGAGGTTGTCTGGTTTGATCTCAAATTAGGTGCTCTTGCCTGAGGTAGTTGACCTTTGGGGGAAGGTTCAGAAAGGTTTCTGGAGGATTTTAATTTATTTTTTTCAGGAGAAGGTTTCTCTGTGTAGCACTCACTGGCTGTCCTGGAACTAGCTCTGTAGACAAGGCTGGCCTAGAACTCAGAGATCTGCCTGCCTCTGCCTCCCTGCTAGAATTAAAGCCTGAGTGTATATGTGAGCATGTGACACTCCCACCCAGCAGGTTCTGGAAGATTAAGGGAGAGTCTTGGCAAACAGCAACTACTTTAAGAGATCTGCTTTTCAAGTAAATAGAAACCTTTAGGCTTGTTTACCAGACAAACAATCCTCTGTTTACTCAAAATCCTTGTTGAGGACAATGTCAACTAGCACTGACATTTTGGAGGAAGCAGGGCTTCAGACCTGACTTTCAGGAACTTTGGATTTTTTTTGTTGTTGTTGGTTGTTTGGTTTTGAGACCAGGTCTTATTCTGTAACCCTGGCTGACTAGGAACTTGCTTTGTACACCAGGCTGGCCTGGAACTCACAGACAGCTGCCTGCCTCTGTCTCCCTAATTCTGGGATTAAAGGCATGTGCCACTGTGCCCTGCTCCTTTTGTAGTTTTTTTAATTACTCATTTTTGTGTATCTGTAGATATATACATATTCTGGAGTGCCACAGTGCTTGTGGAGTTCAGAGGAAAACCAGTCTTGTTTCTCCCACGGAAAAATCCAGTTCTTTAGTCTTAGCAGAAATTGCCTCTACTTGCTGAACCATCTCTCTGGCCCTGTAGGCTATTTTTATTTAGTTAGTTATTTTTGAAACAGGGTCTCACTGGCTGGCCTGGAATTCACAGGGCTAAGCAAGCCCCTGTGGCATAGGTTCAAAGGTGCTTCATCACACCCAGCTCTGTTTTTAAAATTACATTCCATTTTTTATGGGATGGGAGTACATGTCACACTGGACATCTAGAGGTCAAAGGATAACTCTGCAAGAGTTGTTTCTCTCCTTCCACCATATAGGTCCTTGGGATTGAACTCAGGTCCTCAGGCTTGGTGGCAACTGCAACTCTATTTTTAAAGTCCCATAATAAATAATTGAATTGTATACATTTCAAAATTAATAATAGAGCCTTTTCAGATTATTTTTTTAATATCCCCAAAATAGAGATTAAAATAAGGGGGGAAAAGGTTCTGGCATCTTGCTTTTGTTTTCAAAGAATCAGCTTAAATTTCTTTTCCAGTCCCATTATAAAGTCGAAGTGTCGGACTCTTAGATAACTGGTCATCTGTAAGTCAGAAGGTTGGTTTTCTTTTGTTTGTTTGTTGTTTTTTGTTTGTTTGTTTGTTTTTTGAGACAGGGTTTCTCTGTGTAGCCCTGGCTGTCCTGGAACTCACTCTGTAGACCAGGCTGGCCTCGAACTCATAAATCCACCTGTCCCTGCCTCCCAAGTGCTGGGATTAAAGGCGTGCGCCACCACCGCCCGGCTTGTTTGTTGTTTTTAACCTCCAATTATTCCCATGTAGTAAAAAAAATCATTTTCTGGGTCTTTTACCTTCTGTCTATAACAACTGCCTTATCTTAAAATCTATTAATTGCTGCAAGGTTCAAGAAAGACTCCCACATAATGACAACCACATAGGAACACTGTGCCCCAAAGACACGTAGCTGGCAGCTACGTGAGGGGAAAGGAGTTAAGACGAGGGGGTCTTCGCTTACTGCCCAGGCTGGGTTCCCAGTTGCAGCAACGCCCTGCCTCGACCTCCCATTTTACTGGGATTAGAGGCATGAGCCCATCTCAGCTCAATTCCTAGGGTTTCCTGGGTGGTTTGCTCTGCATAGGAACCGAAAACGAGGCCGAGGAGGGTAGGAGCAGGAAGGCCCTCAAACACAGGGATGGAAATGGAAGAGGAACTCTCTCAGGGCGTAGTGGAGCCTGGACGGACGGAATGGGTTTAGGGGCTGCAGACCTGGGGAGACATTAGTGGGCTTCCTAGCCTCTCCGCTCTGCTCGGGGTTTCCAAAAGCGACGCAGTCATCAGGGCTGTGACAGGGCCACCGTCCCGCCTTTAGTCCATCAGGGCGTCTCTCCTCCACAGACTCCCTTGCCATGCCCTCGAGGTCCCTCCACTTCCAGCTCTCCCACCAAGAGGGCTGGGGCGGCGTCCTCGGGACCCAGCAAAGAGGAAGAGGCAGGGAGAACCAGGTAGAAACGAGGGAGGCCTGTGAGGACCGGGGGTCGGCGGCCCGGCCCTCAACCCTCCCGGGGCCGCGCGCCTCCCGCCTCAGCAACGCCGCCCCGCGGGAGGGCGGGGGCGCGCGGCCGGAAGCGCCTTTCCCGGAAGGCAGGGGGGCGGCGCCGGCCTCAGGGCGGCTCGACCATGGCGGCGGCGGCGGCGCGCCCGGTGCTCGCAGCCTGAGCAGAGCCGCGCAGCAGGAGGATGGCCTCGCTCGGGTCATCAGCGGCTGGGGAGCCGGCGACCGGAGCTGAGGCGGAGCCAGGTCCTCCGGCCCCGCCGCCGCCTCCACCGCCGCCACCGGCTCCCTCGCCGTCCGCTCTCGGGCCGCTGTTGCCCCTGCAGCGTGAGCCGCTGTACAACTGGCAGGCCACCAAGGCGTCGCTGAAGGAGCGCTTCGCCTTCCTTTTCAACTCGGAGCTGCTGAGCGATGTGCGTTTCGTGCTCGGCAAGGGCCGAGGCGCGGCGGCCGCCGGGGGCCCGCAGCGCATCCCCGCCCACCGCTTCGTACTGGCGGCCGGCAGCGCGGTCTTCGACGCCATGTTCAACGGCGGCATGGCCACGACGTCGGCCGAGATCGAGCTGCCGGACGTGGAGCCCGCCGCCTTCCTGGCGCTGCTGAGGTGAGCGGCCGGAGCGCGGAGCCGGTGGCCCGCGGCCTGGAGGGAGGCGGCACCCAACCGGGCCTGCGCCGACTCCCGGGTGACCTTGGGGCAGGCGGGTCGGCCTCCCTCGGTTCCTCCCTGGCAGGCGATGCTCGAGAATGTCGGGCAGTCGTTACAGTAAAAGCCAGTGTCGCCATCCCAGCGGCGTGCGCTTTGCCGTTGAAGGGTGCTGTCACAGTTCCAGGACCGGAATTGTCGCCCTGGCTTCAGAATCAAGTGGGCAGATTAGAAGACTAGAAGGCAGGCTGTCCTGATCACCTCCTTGCAGGATTCGTTTCTGTTTAAAGGGCCGGGGTAGATGAAAAGTCTTAGAGGACTGGTGTTTTTAGGTTCTTCACAGTTTTTACTGTCAAGACTCTGGAAAATAATAGCCATAGCAGGTAACAGGCTGACCTGCTTCAAGTTTATGCAGACAAGGAGACGTTTCTTGTGTTAAAACCGATGCTGGTGTTAAAGAGTTTGCTTTCTGATGATCTGAGGGTAGGAGGTTGATAGCTGATTAGTTTTCTTTAATGGAAGGGAGTAGCATTTTGGCGTTGTTAGTTTTTAATCACAACAGTCCTGTGAGGGAGGCATATCGTGTTGTTTACCCCAATTTTACGAATGGGACCGAGGCCCAGAAAAGTAACTCGTCCAAGGTAATCGAGCTAGCTCCCAAAGGACCATGTGTGCTTCATTATCCGAAGATGGTTTTGGCTGCCTGAGCGATGTGTTGTTTTTAAGATAGCAGAGTTTTGAGTAATTCTGACGTAAACAGGCAAGTCAGTGGAACACGAGTCCACAAAGGCTCACAGCTTCACCAAGAAGATGCATACGGAGTGAAATATAAAGTTCACACAAGAAATACATGTTAAGTTCCCGTTAATAAATGGATAAAGGACTAGATAAATAGAAAAGAAAAAAATATACAGCTAAAGAATGTTTGACTTCATTAGTATATGAGGAAATGCAAATTAAAACAGTAAAGTGCTTTCTCCTTTTCATGAGACCCACCATTTGGAGGCAGAGATTTGGGTTTTGGCTTTTATTTTCTTGGACCGGGGCTGATTATGTAGACTTGGCCGATTTGGGGCTCAATATGTATTCCAAGCTGGCTTCCAACTCAGCGAACTTATCACCCACTGAGTGCTGACCCACCAAAAAATTTAAAAAGAAGATTGTAGGAACACTTTCTGACAAAGATTATCATAAAAAGCCTTTGAAAAATAGTTGAGTGCCTTAGATTTCCTTTCTACACTTTGAAAACATTAAATTATTGAAAAAAGTATCTACAGCATTCTTCACAATAATGTAGAAAGAAGTTGAGCCAAGGGAATAAATAATTCAATAACAATCATAGGTCCAGTTAATGGAATATAATGCAGTCACTGTGAAGTTTATGAAAATCGGGTAATATTATGGGCAGTGTCCAAGTTAGCATTTTGAATTTCACGCACCACAGTAACAACTGAAAAAGAACGGAGCAAATACCTGAAGATAGGATAGAAGGAAAAACCAATATGCCAAGTTGTCTTGAACTGGAAAACCGATAGTATCCTTTTCTCTCTTTGACTTCAGATTTTCTGGCATTTAATTCCTTTGTATTTATGGGGATAGGTGTGCCGCCTGCCGGCTAGTATTTGAGTTATTTGGATTTTGAAGTTAGCCAGGAAGGCTGGGGACATAGCTTGCTTAAATTATGTAGTTTAGAAGCCTTTCTTAAAATGATAGGCCAGAGAGGTGACTGCATGGGTAAAGGCTCCTGTTGGCCAAGCCCAAAGGAAGACCTGAGGTACCTGTGGCCACGAAATGAAAGAGAGCACTTATTCCTGCAGGTTGTCTTCTGACCTCTCTCTGTATGTGTGCTGCTGTGTTCCTGCCTCCACTCACATGCAGGAAAAAATAGAACCAAATGGTTCTTTTACCACCTGTACCATGATCCACTGGGATGCTAAATTAGCAGATGTCTCCTTTTGGTATTATTTGGAGGTGAAACCTTAAAGCATTTTTAATACTTTTCCTAAGTGAAATTTAACTGGCTAAACTTGAGAACCATGGAGCTAAACTATTAAGCACTCTCATTGATACGGCTAGAATAAAATTATGGAGGGGGCTATTTCATACTTTTGTTTTTTATTTGTATTTTTGTTGAGTGGGCTAATCAGTTTTAACAGGAAATAATTTTAGAGCCCTTGAAATTTACAGTGCCATTTGATTTCTCCTCTCCTGCCTTCTAAGTAAATTATTTTCCTGATAGTCAGGTTCTGGTCATTTTTCTAATCTCAACTGCGTGTCTAGACAAACTTTTACTTAGGCATTGATTATCTTTAAAACATCGTGTGACAACAATCGGTGGAGCTTGCTAAGCTGGAAAAGTGAGGCAGCTGAGGCAGGTTTACTGTCTTTACAACCTAAATGAATAACATTCCTTACAGGCTTCTGAACTGAGGTTTACACTCTTTAATAATCTGGTCGCTTAAAGCACTCTCCCTTATAAATGTTGTTGCTTATTTGACGTATACTCTGTCTCCTGTGTAGCTTATTTTTCAGTGTAGGAGTCAGCAGTGGACAAGAAAAAAACCCTGCTCTCACAAAGTGAGGAATTACATAAGGGAACTAGGACACAATGTCAGGGTGACAGTGTTTGAAGGAAATGACACCAGAGAAAGCTTTCTAAGGGGGCAGGGCTTGTTTTAGGCCTTAATCTCCCCTGTCAGAGAAAGTTGGTTTGAGTAGATAAAAAGAAAGTGATGGGTGGTAGTGGTAGTGGTAGTGGTAGGCCAGACAGGGATTTGGGAGACTGAGGAAGGCTTGAGAGAAGATGTAGAGGGTTTTCAGTGGAGTACTGTGATCCTGTTTACATTTAAAAACCTCACCTGCAAGTTATTTGGAGTAAAATGGGAACCAGTGATAAATTCAGAGGTTTTGCTGTACTCTACTTAGTTAAGAGATGATGCCGAGCTGCCAGGGAGGCAGAGTATGATAAGTGGTCAAGAGTCTGGTTATATTTTGAAGGTGGAATCAGAGGAACTTAAGAATGAATGGCACTTAAATGATTTAACTGAATGAAATTAACTTGGGAAAGAAGTGGATTGTGAAAGGTACAGGGTGAGCCCTGAGATCTTGCAGGGCATAGAGATGTAGGAAGGAAAGCAAAACAGGCAGCTGTCAGTGAAGCGGAAGCCAGGCATCCTCAAAGTCAAGTCAAAGAGAATATTTGGGAAATGAGAGTGGAAAACTTTGTTAGCTATGGAACATGGTTAGCTGTTAAATGGTACTGGGAGTTGAGTAAAGTGAAGTGAATTCCTGATGGTGTGATGAGGTATAAGCTGTTGATATCCCTAGGGCAGGACACTAATGCATAGGCTCTCATTCATGATTCCTTGGGGGTTGGGGTGGGGAGGGGTGGTTTCTGGCCTTGATTTCAGGTTGTAGTTTTGGTGCTTGTCTTTGGGGCAAAGTTGTCAGGTTTTGATCATACTGGAGTATTCTGGGCTCGTTTCTTTAGTGGAGCTCCTGCTGTCCTCTCTTACTCCAGCACTCTGCAGTTTCTCTCCCAGTCATTTGGGAACTTGACTGCTGGATGAAGTTTAATGCTGTACACCTGTTAAAGGCCATTGTGATACCACCTTGCCCCTTCCTCTAACTATTCAATGTCCCACCTAATTACTGGTGGCATTTTCCTTATTTTAATGCCTGCGGTCCAAGGCCTCTTCTAACTGTATAGCCTCTACGTAAAAGACAGTAATTATTATACTTCAGGTAATAATTTTGGGCTTTACTTTTTGATTAAATCACTGTTTCCTTCCCCTACAGGCAAATTTGTATCCTAGCTCATTTTAATCTCTCAGCATGTTTTGGTTACATGTTACCCTAGAGCAAACCATTCCAACAACTGGTGGTTTTAAACAGTCATTTCATTATCTTTAGAGCTGTGTGGGTTGATGGGATCACCCAATTGTTTGGCATATCTTTAAGGTTTCAGGAATGGATTTCAGATAACATCTAGAGCTGTGATCATACGGAGGGGTTGAGTCAGATTATGGATGATTTTCAAGTAGTTTGAGGTCATTTCAGCAAGCTTGATTTCTTGAACAAAAATCGGAGCTTCCAGGTGTTCTTAAAGTATAAGCTAAACTGATGTGCTTGCGCTGCCCATCTTGCTGATTAGTGGTGAATGGGAATCGTGTAAGCCAGCAAAGATCTATGTAACAGCGTTGGTATTGGAAGGCACGGTTTAGTGTGGGCTGCTTAAGTGGCTGTCGTTTAGTGTCTGGCTGATACTGCTGTCTTACGGCGTTACTTTAAAGCACTCATGTAAACTTACTATGGACAATCTGTCTTACTCTTTTTGTAGCTGTCATCTATTACAGTGCCTAATGATACACATTGTCCCTCAAAAAATAGTTTTGAATAAAATAGAGCATTGGTAAACCAAGTTCTTTAGATATGATTCCTGTCCCCCTCCTGAAACCCTATTTTCTAATCCGAGATCAAGTTTCATTCTATCATTTCAAAAATAGTTTAATTCAGAGCTGGAAGAATGTGAGGCCTGAAATTGGTTCCTAGAGCCTGCATCAAAATGCCAGATGTGGGTGGTAGGCATGTACTTGGAGTCCCAGTGCTGGGAAGGCTAATTCAGGAGGAACCCTGGGGCTCCCTGGCCTGTCTAGTGTAGTCAGTGAGTTCCTGGCCACTGAGACTCTGCCTTCAGAAGAGATGGTTGTTATTCCAGAGGTTGACCTCCACACCCACCCACCACATGTATGCACCCACACAAGAACACATGTGCATAACATTGTTTTAATTAGCCAGGTGTGCAGGCACATGAGTGTCAATTCCAGCATTTGGGAGGTGGAGGCTTGAGGATCAGAAAGTCAAAGCCTGAAACAGCTACAGAAGACCTTATCTTAAAATTTTTCTTAAATTGTATTAAATATAGCCTTAGATCTTTATCTTGTTGGAGATCATCTTTGGGGTGGAGATAAGGAAACAGATATACTTTGATGACATACAATCATTTCTCTGTGTTTTATGTTCCTGTCCTTAAAGGTTGTGTCTGAGAACTTGAGTTGTCTCTTCAGAATACAAAGAGTTGTGCCTATGCTATAGTGCCTGCTGTGCAAGCCTGGCAATCTGAGCTGAGCGCATGTAGGTAAAAGGGGAGAGCCATTCCACAGAGTATTTTACCTACATGCATACTGTGATATCATGCATGCAGATATAGTTAAAATTCAAGTGCAAAGAATAGTGGTAATGTCATGTTTACGTTTTAGTTGTATCTTTCTTAGTTTTTCTTAATATGATAAAATTCTAACTGGGGGCTAGAGGGATAGTTCAATGATTAAGAGTACTTACTGCTCTTGCAGGCAACAAGATTTGGTTCCCAGCACCTATAGGATAGATCACAACTACCTGTAACTTCAATTCTAGGGAATCTAAGACTCTTCTGGCCTTTCTTTGTAGGCTCTTGCATGCAAGTGGTACAAAACCTCAGCCTTGTATACATAATATTTTATAAATAAATAGATCTTTGAATAAAAACAAATCCTATTGATTAAATATATTTTAGAGAACATATGTAAATGAAGTATGAACAGGCTGATTCTTAAATTTTTTAGTAAACTTTCTTATTAGAAATAAGAATATCAGCAGCCCTGTGGTAATGGTGGCACACGCCTTTAATCCTAGCACTTAGGTAGCAGAGGCAGGCAAGTTTCTGAGTTCAAGGCCAGCCTGGTTTACAGAGAGAGTTCTTTCAAGATAGCCAGGGATACACAGAGAAACTTTGTTTCTAATGCAAACAACAAAAACAAAACCAAAAAAACAAAGGAAGAAAGAAATAGAAAAAAAGTTAAACCACACAATGTGGTCATTGATGTTACTTAGAAACTTTTGCCTGGTGTGTTAACATGTGTACTCATTAAAACTTAAATGTGCCCATACTTTGTCTAGTACTGTAAGGGGAGCATGCTCTCTCTTTTTCTTTATTGCTTATAGTCCAGTATTTACTTTTAACTTTATTTAAAGTATCTTACAAGAAATCTAAGGATAAAACTAAAATAGCAATAAGTAAAGTTAATACGGAAAAAATATATGTTGTGATCAAGCAAGCCACAGCTTTCTTTTTTAATTTGTGTTGTCTGTTTTTTTTGTTTTTGTTTTTGTTTTGGGTTTTTTTTTTTTTTTTTTTTTTTTTTTGGTTTTTCGAGACAGGGTTTCTCTGTATAGCCCTGGCTGCCCTGGAACTCACTCTGTAGACCAGGCTGGCCTCTGCCTCCCAAGTGCTGGCATTAAAGGCACATGCCACCACCGCCTGGCTTGTTGTCTGTTTTACAACAAATGTAAAACAAGCTTGCTTGATCAGTTACAATTCATGATGTCTCTAGACTTAAAAACAAGTAAACTACTTCGGGAATCTGTACTAATACTGAGAGCAATAATGAAACTGAATGTCCCAGTTGTATTGCCTTCATAGAAAAGGAATTATTATAATAATGGACAATGTCTGCAAGCAATGGCTTTAGACACAGGTGATTCTTTACTATAATAATGATTGTGGTCCTTGATATAAGCTAAGGGTTATTACTAAAGTGGAATTTTTATTACATTCAGTTCGAATGTGAAGGACCATATTCAGAATAATCTAAAACATAATTCTTTTTTTGTACCTAGAATGTCTTCACAGATGTTTTATGCTGGCCTAAATTGGAGCTCCTAAACATAGACTCATATAGAACCGTGTGCTTCAGCTTTGTGTGCTTGTCTAAACATAGACTCATATAGAACCGTGTGCTTCAGCTTTGTGTGCTTGTCTAAACATAGACTCATATAGACCCATGTGCTTCAGCTTTGTGTGCTTGTCTTCCATCTCTCTCTTAATTAAAATGATTATTAATAAATATGAAAGACAGTATGCCTGCCAGAAGAAAAGGAGAGGGTTTGGAATGGCCAATGTATAGAAAATAGACAATGTCCTTAGACATTGTGTGGATAAAATGAGAGTGACTGAAGGAGCCTGGTGGAGCAGGGCCTGCTCTGGTAGAACCGCCTCCCAACCCCCACCCCACCCCCTCTCCCTCATCCCCCAGCCACGTGCTGGTGAGAGCTGAAGGTTCCCCTGTAAATCTGAGCAAACTGCCTGGCAACAAATAGAATTGCTGGTATGATTTTGGAACCTTTGGATAAAGCTCTCATAATAACAGGAGGGGTCCTTGATCTCAGGGTAAGGTGCTGGTCAACAGTTTCCATGTACCTGGAACTCAACCTAGCCTTTGCATTTTCAAGATATTTTTACCTGGAAACAGACCAGCTACCTGGACTTGGAGATAGTGACCACTTGACACACAGAAAATCAGAATGTGAATGACAAAGACAAACAGAGCATATGAATTTCAAGGAAGCATGGACTCGAGGGAAAAGAAGACTTAAAGTTTCTACTACGTGTCTTGGAAATGAGAAAGGGGTTTGTATCCATAAAACTAAGACATAAAGTTGTGAAGGGAAGACAAAGGAATAATTAAGAACAAGGCAGGAGGGCTGGAGAGATGGCTCAGCGGTTAAGAGCACTGACTGCTCTTCAAGAGGTCCTGAGTTCAAATCCCAGCAACCACATGGTGGCTTACAACCATCCATAATGAGATTGGATGCCCTATTCTGGTGTGTCCGAAGACAGCGACAGTGTACTCATAAATAAAATAAATAAAAAAAAAAAAAAAAAAAAAAAGAACAAGGCAGGAAGTTTTAGAAGTTTATTGCTGTGGAGAAAAGTAAGGCTATAAGCATAGGAAAAGAAATATTCTGCCAGTTGTGGTCACTCCTTTAATCCCAGCCTGGTCTGCAAAGTGAGTTCCAGGACCGCCAGGGCTACACAGAGAAACCCTGTCTCAAAAAACCAAACAAACAAACAAAAAAAGCTACAGAGAAAGAAATATTCCAAAATACAAAAGAAAGCTTGTTTTATTAAAGAAAAGTAGGTCATATATCAGTAAGCAGCTCACATTTACACAGGTTAATTTTTGTTGGGCTCTACTGAAAATGCTATATGTTTTGTGTTCATTCTCACTGCAACATTACAAATAGATGCTGTTATTTTCATTTCTGGAGAGTCACACCATGATAATATGCTTAAAACCACATACCAAATAAATGATAGCACTGGTTCAAACCCACACAATTTCTTTATCTTTCTCTGACATGTATTGTTGGTAGGCATTTGGTTGAGTCCACTGATATGGAACCTGTGGATATAAGTCAACTGGATTATTAAATTATCCCTCTAAAGCACTCTAATCTGTGGTCATTGTGCTAATTCTAGAATGGCTATGAAAGGTTTTAAAGAAGGGTCTGATACCAAGAAATAAATGAATCCTTTTACATTTGGAGATGTGACCTTAGCTAACTGTAGATTTACTCAAGTGAATGTCCTTTGATGAGGGAGACATTAATGAACCATTGTTCTTGTGAGCAGCTGTGGAGTGCTACCAGGAGTCCAAGGTTTGCCTTAGGAACATTCATTTGTATGCCTATCTCTTGAGCATCTCTTACCCTCCTGAACATGGAAATACTTTGTACCTCTGAGGAGTAACAATCAGATGTCTGTGTAGGTGCTTCTTACCCTGATGCAAATTTCAGGGTTTTTTTCTTTTGTTTGCTCATTAAAGTTTAATTCTGATGGATTGCTTGTCTAAAACAGTGCTGATTGTCTATTTAATTTTTCCAATTGCTTTTCAGATTTTTGTATTCAGATGAAGTTCAAATTGGTCCAGAAACCGTTATGACCACTCTTTACACTGCTAAGAAATATGCAGTCCCTGCCTTGGAAGCACATTGCGTAGAATTTCTCACCAAACATCTTAGGGCAGATAATGCCTTTATGTTGCTTACTCAGGTAAGTAAATAGAGGTAAAATAGTAGCTTCAAAATTGAACCTAAGCTGGGCAGAGGTGGCAAACACTTTTAGACCCAGCACTTGGAAGGCAGAGGCAGGCAGATTTCTATGAGTTCGAGGCTAGCCACGTCTACATAGTGAGTTCCAGGACAGCCGAGACTACACAGAGAAACCCTGTCTTAAAAAAGCAAAACAATGAATTCTGGTTATATACTGTAATTCCATACTATAAGGAAAAATGTTACAAAAATAGGACTAGGTCAAGGTTACAAAACTGAAATCAGTCAGCAAACTGATAAATATTATATTAATTTTGTATTTACCAAATTACTAAAGTTATGCGAGACTATACTATTCGTAGGAAATTTAAAAGTCCATAATATATGTAATTTACTTTCCTGGCTCACCCCCCCCCACACACACACACACAAATATATTTGCTCTCCCTACAAAACAGAGGTTTCTATGGAGGGAAAGAATTATTTAAAGCTAAAATTAGATTGGCAAAGCAAATTAATATAAACAAGGCCAATGTGTAATCCAAGGAGAACGTTTGTTCAGTTGCATCTGTATTGCTGAATCTGGGTTGGAGAAATGACTCGGTGGAGTGCTTGTAAAAACATCAAGAAGACATGTATTCAAATCTCTTAGCATTCACATGAAAGTGTCACATCAGCATGAGGGACAGACAGACAGGTAATAGCCAGCCAGCCTAGCTCAGCTGTTGAGCTTCAGGTTCAGAAAGAGACCCTGTTTCAAAAAAAATATATGGTAAACAGAGATAGAGGAAAGCACTGGACATCCTCCTTTGGCCTCTGTGTGCACATACATAAATGGGCATATATCCAGACACATATGCTCACATGTACTGTACATATGTACACACACATACACAGAAACTCAATTATTGAATCCTTTAAAATTAATTTTACTGTGGCTAAAGAGATGGCTCAGCAGTTAAAGAGCATTTGCTGTTCTCATAGAGGATTTACAGTCAGCTCCTAGCACCTAAATGGTGTCTTAATCTTACCTAACTCCAGTTCAGGGGATCCAATGCTCTCTTTGTTCTATACAGGCACCAAGCACACACACAGTACACATACATACAGTACACATACATACATGCATGCAAAACACTCATAAAAATAAATAAACCTTTAAAAAGAGACTTTTAAGTGAAGACCTATCAGTCATGTCAGGTCTTCGGTGTCATTTCCGTTATAGGTAATTAGTTGGGTGCGTGGAGCTCTAAAATTCTTATTCAGCTCCCATCACTACAGGAAATGTTTTGAAAAAAACTTGTGACCTTTTTTATTCTTGACAGTTGATGTACTAGTTAGCAGTGGCGGTAAGACTCAAGTTGATGGTACTAGACTGTAGCATATCTAACTAGATGATGTTAGACAGATAAGTGTACACCACTGAACTGTTTGATGTGCTTTACCTAAGCTAGAGAGTTTGGTAAGGATCAGACTTAGTGCTACATAAAAAGATTGGCTGTAATGTATATGCATAGGAAAGTAAAAATAGCAAGATGGTTGACATTGTGAAACAGTATTGTTTAGCCTTCCATTTCTCATTGTCAGTATTTTGCATAATTAGCCATTGCAACTGTATACGGTATCAACTTTGAATGTGCACAGTCTGAGGTAAAGTAACTGAAAGTAAGCTGACTGTTTATTTGTATAGGCGCGGTTGTTCGATGAGCCTCAGCTGGCTAGTCTTTGTCTAGACACCATAGACAAAAGCACAGTGGATGCAATAAGCGCGGAAGGGTTTACTGACATTGACATAGGTGAGTTCCCAGTGATCAAAATGTTCACATTTGAAGACAGCACTATCTTGTTGGAAAACTATGTGTGGACTGGTGTTTTCTCCAAATGATTGAAGGTCTACCTCCTTAAGGAGTTGTACTTTCTTTCCTCTTACTGAAAGTACTCTTAAAAATCCTCACTAACTTGGTGTGTCCCAAAAAGTATCTGCAGGATACACTGCAGGAATAATACAGTTCAAACTTTTTGTAAATCCTAGAAGATCAGGCCCTTTGTAAGGCAGAACTTAGGCTTGGCTTAGAGTAGCAAACCCCAACGTGCTGTCTGGCTCAAGCACAAAAACAAGGTCATTTTGTGTTCATGTAATGGTCCACAGAGAGCATCCTTAGCAGGTAGCTCTCAGGCCTCGTTACTGCCTGTATCTTGCTAGCAGATGGGATGGAAAATATCCACATGTTATAAAAGACGTGGGTCTAAAAGAAATAGCACCCTATTTCATTGTCCAGAATTCAGTCACATGATCCACCTGACTTCACAGCAAGCTAGCATGTACAGACTAGTTACTTCCTAAGAAGCTCAGATGGCTGGTCTCCTGCCTCTCGTCCATTCCTGTTCGATTTATACCCGACAGGACCCATTATCCAAGCCTTTATAATTGTTGCTCATTCTGACTGGACTCCTTTTCCCTTGAATCTTTATATGGCTACCTGTCTTTAATTCCTCAGCTCACAGGTTAACGGAGACTTGAGATAGACTATCTCAGACCTACTTAATAAATAACTAAGTAAAATCCCTGTTCCTTTACTCTGGTCTATTTTTCTTATATTTATTGCTATTTGAGAGTCTTAATTAAGTGTTCATCTTTTCTTAATTGCTGGTTGTCTGCTTTCCTCTCCTAGACTATATGCTCCTTCAAGACAGAGGCTTTGTCTTGTTTACTGCTGTATTTGTAGCACAGAAGACAGCAGAACATAGTACATGTTGAGTTAATACCCTGACCAGCTGCGATAAAATGCTGTTTCTCTGCATGTGTGTAGTTTTCAGTCAGGAAATCAGGATGGTCCTTTTAAAATATAACTTAGCTCAGCTTATACCACTGCAGTGAATTGTGTAAGAGCTGATACCTTACCCTTTTCCAGACATGGAATGTACTTCTCTTTTATAGCTAATACAACATTCCATTGTCAGTTTACCTGTTCATTGCTCAGTGCCTTGGGAAGAATTTATACATTGTGTTTTACTGAAGGCAGAGGCTAGTACAGTGTTGAGCTGTTTGTGAAGCGTTGTTTAATCTTAATTGTTTCTTGTTAAGCTGTCGAATGCTCCATTGTTTTCATCGACTTGTGAGATCCCACTACCTGCTTCTGAGGGTTTTACATGTGACAACTGGTTTATAAATAGCTTTTATATTTTTTTATCCCTGGGATGAAATCTAAGAGCCTGGGAATCTTAAAGTGTGGGTGCTTAGCTGAGTAGATTTGCTGATTTGTTTCACACCCAGTGTTGTATTATGTTTATGACTCATAATCTGTTGTTTTTATCATCTTAGGCTCAGCTATAATTTTTTTTAACACATCTGCCATAGAAACCTGCCAGTAGGACCTATATGTCCCTCCCCCTATTTCCACACCATAGGCCAGTTTGCCTGACATGTACTTATTGAACTTAGGAATTCTAAAGAAAGTGAAGTAGCTAAGAGGGTAGGGATTTTTTTTTTCCTTCTTTAGGGTTTGAGCATGTGTTCTAGAGGAAAAGAGATGTTTTAGCTCTTTTGCTTTAGGAGAAAGATTCTTTCTATCATGGATATAACAGAATGAATTTGGGCCAGGGCAGCAAGACGGACGCCTCAGCTGGTAAAGGTGCTGTTAGGCCTGATATCTGGAGTTGGAGCCTCAGTGCCCGTGTAGTAGAAGCATAGAATCAGCTCCCACAGGTTTTCCTCTGCCTCCCATCTGTGCGCTATGGTGTGTGCATACAGAACACACACAAAACTTTAAAAATAATAAGAATGTCGCACTGCCAAGAGCAGACTGATGTGTATATCATACTCCAGGATTTAAGTTAGCTTAAAGTTAGGATTTAACTCAAAAGTTATTACTGAATTAAATAAGAGGTCTGTTTTTGGTTGAAGAGATTAAATATTATTTGTTCATTTTTTGAGACGGGGTCTCATCTTACTTTGTAGTCTAGGCTGGCCTTGAACTCGTGGTGATTCTCCTGCTTTAGCCTTTGAAGGCTGAGATTATAGGAGTTAGCCACTATGCCATGCTCACTGTGTATTTTTAAAATTTATCTAATTTTATTTTATATGCATTGGTATTTTGCTTGCATATATGTCTGTGTGAGAGTGTCAGATCCTCTGGAACTAGAGTTACAGACGGTTGTTAGTTACCATGTGGTTTCTGGAAATTGAACCCAGATCCTCTGGAAAAGTGGTGCTCATAACCTCTGAGCCATCTCTCCAGCTCCTCATTGTGTATATTTAATCCAACAAATAATAAAGATGTTAATCTTCACTTAATTGAATTGTGAAAAGCTACATAGATCCTTAGTTCGAACTAACTTAGTCAATGAAATGAGAATAAGAAAAGTTTGATGTTATAAAACAAATCCTGGGGACTGCTGAGATGAGGAAAGGTGGACTGGTCACCCGAGTGTGAGCCCAGAACTCGGATGCCGGAAGGTGCGAGCCCGCTCCCGCTGTTTATCCTTTGAGTCCCGTATTACCACATACACACCATCCACACAAGAAATAATAACTAGATGTAACTTTTAAAAGGAATTTCTATTTAAACAATTTTTAACATGTTATTGAACCTCTACTTTGTTCTAAGGACTAATATCAATGTTACTCTCCATTAATAAGCAGATATTTGACTTTTAGTGTAAATGTATAGGCTGCAGAATGTGTTTTTTAAAAAATCATTTTTGTACTTATTTCTGAATGATTTATTACTCATGTGTAATGCTTTAGTTGATTTCTGCTGTATATAAATATAGCATGCTTTTAATTATATTTAAAATGTAGGGCAGCAAACCTTGGAAACTGAGACTCTGCAGACCCTCCAAGCTCAATCAAAACTTGTGGCTCCTCCCTTGCTGTTTTACAAGTGTCATCCAACACTTTTTTGTTAATTAAGCCTCTTCTCATTAGAATGTAAATTCTGTGATGACAAGGACTTAACTTTTGTTCAGTGATTTATCTGTGCACAGAGCACCTAGCAACAGTGAATGCTTCAGAATAAATATTTGCTGAGTGGATTGTATCTGTAATCTTTTTTTTTTTTTGGTTTTTCGAGACAGGGTTTCTCTGTGTAGCCCTGGCTGTCCTGGAACTCACTGTGTAGACCAGGCTGGCCTCGAACTCAGAAATCCGCCTGCCTCTGCCTCCCAAGTGCTGGGATTAAAGGTGTGCACCACCACCGCCCGGCATCTGTAATCTTCATTAGTTTTTATGAGTAACTTTGATTCCTGTATGTTACTTTCTATTAATTTTCTGGCTGTATAGACATGCTGAGTAAATGGCATGACTATGTTCTAAGTAATAAGTTACCTGTTTACCATATACAGGTTTTCTTAGAACACCTTTTATTTATTGACAATGTTGTGTGTATGTGTACAATTCCTTTAGTGTCTTTAGTATTTTAAAGATAAAGCCAATACTTTCTTTCCTTTAATTTTTCTTCATTTATTGGCAATAGATTTTTTTCTTTTTTCTTTTCTTTTTCTTTTTTTCTTTCTTTCTTTTTTCTTTTTTTTTGGGTTTTTCGAGACAGGGTTTCTCTGTGTAGTCCTGACTGTCCTGGAACTCATTTGTAGACTAGGCTGGCCTCAAACTGAGAAATCTGCCTGCCTCTGCCTCCCAAGTGCTAGGATTAAAGGTATGCACCACCACCGCCCGGCAGATTATTTTCTTATACACCTTTTTTTTTTTTATTAGTAACTTTTTTAAAAAATGTTAATCAAAGGCTTTATAAGTTTGGCGATGCCCATATAATCAGAAGTGTAACCCAATAACCAACCTAGATATTCCAACTATCTTTGACTGGCAGAGACACATGAACATCCGCCTCCATGTCCCCCCCCCCCTCCCCAGCTCCTCCTTTCCTTCTCCTCCTCTTTCTCTCCTTACTCCTCCCACCTTAGCTCCTCCTACATATCATCCTTCCTGTTAAAATAAAACTTTTCTCTCAAAATACAGTTATAGCATAACTATACCAATTTGTATCAGTAAGGTACAAGATAGACCTAATACCCAGTCCATCATTTTGTTGACTAACCAGAACCACTGTCATCTCTCCTAATTAAAAGACTTAGTTCTGAACCTGGCTTTTTTCTTGGCTTTAGAATGAATGTCAGCTGAAAATCATCCTCTCAAACCTTTTCTCTCAAAGTAAATAGCCGGGACTATTTACTATGAGACTATAAGTCTTCAACCCCGTCAGAAATCCAGAATGACTGAATTAACAGAAATTATGGGAAGCACAAAGCATAGCTTCTAAAACTTAGCCAATTTATAGAGACCGCTGAACACCTGGACAGTCCCTATACTACAAAATGTTGGAGCATCCGATCTTCAGCCTTCTGGCCCAGGATCATCTGACAGACCTAGTGATGCAGAATTATTAAGGGCTGATTACTCTGTCTTGGCAGATATAATCAGTCAACTATTGCACAAGTGTGTCCTTTTCAGGACAGTAATTTGTCTGTAGATGAAAAGAGGCAATTCTTGTCTAGTGACTGTCTCACCACAACTGGAGTAACTCCAAAGATGCTCAATTTCTTCTTAGAATCCAAGACAGGAAGCTGTCAGGAGCAGACAGGTCTCTAATCCAAATGAACCTTAATACAGAAATGTGTGTAATGTCAATTCTGTGGACTTCTGACATTTTGAAAACCAACTATCCATGTAAGGCAATCTGGACTGCTGGTCTGTTAACTCTTCTCAGCTATTTTTAAATAAAATATAGAAAATACCCTAACAATAAACTCAGAGCCATGAATTTGCTATAGGCCCTTAACT